ACATGGTTGTCAGAAGGCTGACCATTGCGACGGCGATTGGGGCCAGACGACGCTTGAGATGACGATCCACGGGGACGTTCCGACGAGTCTGGCAGGTCCCCAGCGACAGTAGTAGCAGCACGAGCATGAGGCTCGATTTGAAGGCGAGCAGGCAAGTCAGATGGCGACGCAGCCGTAGGGGTCGTTGCCGATGCCGGGGCAGAGGTCTTAGCGTTGTTAGCGCGGGCATGTTGAAAGGTAAACTAGGTGCTCGATGCACATCAAATTATGAACTGGGGATATGTAGCTCACGTTGTAGAACTCCCGCTTCGCATGCGGACGATGCACGGATCAATCCCCCGTGTTGCTGCATTATATACCAGAATTACAAGAGTAAACCATCATTGGAATTTCTGTTTTCATTGATTGAATTTTATATATTGCGCCACCATGTTGCTGCTACTCAACACACAATGGCAAACCAAAATACAACCACAATTATGCTTCATTCTCCGTTTCACACAATAATCGAGTCGACACATTTTTGCTCCTCTGCACTTACATTGCCAGTAGCTTGTTTCTGCGACTTTGATCGAGAGGATGTTTGGGCTTGAAGAATAGCGTGATAATTTGCGGTAATGAATTTCCCACTGACAGTCAATGTCTTTCTGGAAGTTTTCACCTTTTTCTTTGGCAACAGAAGAAGCAAATTGACCCTCACCTGTGGCCGACGTTTCAACCAACTGTTTTCGACGGCACAACTTTCTTGCACAGACGGCTTGAAAGGTGACAGCCGGTACATCAGATTGTCCAGCGACAGCGAGTATAGTCCAGTACGCACGAAACCGTTGGAAATTGAAGTTTGTTCCGGCGTCGTCCAAACGCGGCACACAATATCAATCGCCTTTTGCTTGCTAATATTCGTCGAAATATCACTTCAACTGTCATCGGCAATTTTGCGGCGGATTGCTTCCTTGAATGGTCGAAAAACTGCGACATCCAATGGCTGGAGCATGTGGGTTGAGTTGTCTGGTAAAAACTGCAGCAGAAAGCCCATTGACATTGCAGCTTCAAACATGTAGTTCGAGTAGTGCGATGAACAGCCGTCAAGTACGAGAAGAATCGGCCGTGGAGTTGACGCCGGGATAGCTGAGTTGAGCATAGACAGCCACTTCATGCAGATATACGAGTTCGTTCATCCTTTCTCAGATGTTGTAACGACTGCGCCAGGGATGCTCAGGTTGTCACAGACTTCAGTTGTCACGCGGGAACCAGGAAGCACACAAAACGGTGGATATAGTTGTCGGGGCAATCCACCTTAGAAGCTGGCGAAGCTGCACGAAATGCTTTCGCCAAGCGTGTCGAAGAGGTTCTCAAAAAGTATGGAATTGAAGACATATACAACGCAGACCAAACGGGAATCAATTATGAGTATTTACCCAAAGAAACAATCGACACAAAGGGTTCCAAGACCGTGTGGATCAAGTGCGCCGGTCACGAGAAGGACCGCATGACTGCGATGCTCCTTGCCGACACGAAGGGAACTAAGTACCCTTTGTTCCTAGTCCTCAAGTCACAAGAG